TACTACATGGTTATCTCTTGTAAAATCTCTTGTGTAGGAGAATAAAGAATGGGTATGAGGGTCCACTTATTTTGAACGAGATACTGTGGTCATGAAAATATTGTTATGAGACTAAATTCATTAATTTATAACATTTTAAAACCAATTTTAATTTTCATAGTTTATATATAAGTTCCTATTGGATCATTAGTTCTTTTTATGCAGGTATTATTTCTTTTTATTATTCTATATTGAACTGTTCCCAAATTTGAAAAGTATCTTTTTAATTCTAATATTGGAAAAATTTTAAATAGGGCTGAATTCACTCTGTCTCAACCCTGAATAAGACAAGATTTGTATTTCATTTTCATTTGACATTGTTTTAGTCTTGGAAAAGTGTTAATATTTATAGGTAGTGTTCCTTGGGAGTGCTTTTATTTACCATCAGTTACTCATCTCTTGATCCTTTCAGACTATTATTCTTGTTAGATGAGGCTTACAGAATCATAAACTCCTTGAATATAGTCATTGGTTTTTGGATTCTGAATATTTAGCATAATGCCTGTCATGCAGTAGAAGCTTAATTAATGTTAAGTTAATTCTGCAATGAGAACTATACGTGACATTTCTGGGAGTGGGGATATCATGGATTTTTACAGAGGTGTGTAATTTTGTAGTATTCAATTTCTAAAACGCTTCTAATGAATTACTGTGTCCTAAAATAAAGAAGTTTGTGTTTTCTCTTAAGCACATTGAGAGAAAGGATACAGAGGTCTCTAAATTCCTGTTGTACCTTTTCTGAAAGAACACATTATTTTAGATTTACCTTACTTAAAATAGCAATTGTGGCAGATAATAAGCCTGGCCCCTCATATGAAAGATCTATGACTTAATACTGACTTTCTGCATGATTTAGATTCACCCCTCCACAATCTGTGTTAATGAAAGGAAAAATTTATAGTTGGTACTTTATTTTTTGATAAGTAGATCTTTTAAAAAGCCCTTGATGTTTTGTTTTCTAGTTTATTTTTATACTGAAGCAAAGTGTCAGCTGTCATAATAATAGATTCATAGACTTTTCTGGATTTGTATCTTTTATGTTTAAATTCTACTGATAATTATATATGCAAATATCAGAGAAAATAAACCAGTAAACAACTAGTACTTTTATTCTACTTATAATATCTTGATTAATATCCTAGTATGGGCTTTCCCCCAAAACCCCAAAACAGAAACTTTGCACATTTATTTGTGAGGGCACTTACCAACTGAATTATGAAGAGCTGAATAAATGTGACCATCCATTCTATATCCTGTATACCTCAAAATATGTTTAGATTTTTTTTCTGCCTTCCTTCAGCTTGGAAATCCAAACTCACCATCAAATAAACACAATTTAGACAGTGATGTTGAATACAGTTAAAACAATTACTAATCTGTACTTTTAATTGGATGAATTTCTGCTTTTACCTCCCTCTAATATTTCTTCTTTAAAAAAATGCCTTAGCTTTCTAGCAGTTCTTTGAAACAGTGGAGGAGGAGATGATGTTAGTTTATGAGGAGATCATATTACTTTTTTCATATGTTTTTTAACTTGATCTTCAGTCTAATAGCAGGGAAAACGCATTATAAAGGCAAACTGATGATATTTTGTATAAATGACTATATTACGAGTGGGTAGTTATGTTCTCAGGGTGAATTTATAGCCATCAATGCTTTTATTTCATTTAATAAAATCTTACTCATTTTGGTTTTTGAATGGTTTAGGAGATAGTTCTATTACAACATATGAATAGCATTTTTTTGCCTTTTGGTGTTGATCTTCAGAATGTACACCTCTGTATTTTTTTTTCTGCTTCATAAAATTCTTGAGTTGTGATTGTTTTTCTTCCTAAGAAGTTATGAGTAAATTGGTATAATATCTATCAAAACCTATAATGTCCTTTCCTCAACTCATTTGGTAAAAAAAAATTAAAAATGTTTTATAAATTAAAGAGAAAAAAACCACTGAAAAGAAAGGAGCCTCCTTTTTGGGTACATATCAATCTTTCTTTAATATTTAATGGCAGCTGCAAGAGAAAGCTATAGAAAATTGATTTGTATTTTAGTTCCAGTTCTTCTGGGTTAATGCATCCTTTGCATTACTTTGTAAGTTATAGCATAATCTATTTAAGTTTGCATTTATACTCCCTCAGTTATGTTAAAAGGTATGCATCAACAATGTGTCTCTCATATAGGCAGTATATATCTTTTATTCACTGTGGGTTTGGATTGGGCAATATTTTACCTGCCCTTCTTTTGAATAAAAATTAAACTCATCTCTCTGAAGAAACTGGGCATTGTACAATCTCTTTTGGTCTCGGGAAGACTTTTTTTTTTTTTTTTGGTTTTTCTCTGGTACCGGGAACTGAACTCACGACCTTGCGCATGCCAGGCAGGCGCTTTTGCCGCTGAGCTAAATCCCCAGCCCCAGGAAGACTTTGAGTATTGAGAAAAATCTTTAAGTGCACTTGGTGCTGGTTTTGGGAAGGGTTGGGAAGATTTTTAGTCATATATATTTTAAAGTATGGTTAAATATCTTTTTCTTTTTATAATTAAATATTGCTATGTGTATATCTATATATATAAGCATGCTTGTATTTGGTTTAATAAGTTGGTGTATATTCTTTAAGGTGTTGTCAATTTTGGTCTTACTTACAAATGTATTGGTATAAAATATTGTATTATTTTGAAAAGTGTTGTGTTATGTATAGTATTTGTCTTATTCCTATTTTTATGTTTTCTCTTTTTGCTTATTTGTTTGTGTGTGTGTGTGTGTGTGTGTGTGTGTGTTTGGTACTGGGCATCGAACTCAGGACCTCATACTTGGCAGGCAGGCACTGTGCATTGGGCTATATTTTTGCATATAGCAGCAATATAACCCAGCCCTCTTCTTGCATATTAATATTGCTATATTTTCTCCTCTTTAAAACTTTTATGGACTTAATGTATAGGTGGCACTTTTATTGGAATATAGTTTGACATAGTTTTTTTAAAACTTATTTAATGAGTAAATGTACTTAGGGTAAGTTAAAGTATCAAATATTGAACTTCCTTGGAATTTCAGTTTTGCTTTTACTTCTGGGATCTCCTGTACAAACAGTTTAAGGAAAAGGAAAAGATCATTAAGGAGCATTGGTTTACTTTTTTCTGTGTGGCTGGTTTTACTAACAGCCTTATATTTTAGCCACATATACTTTAAATGTGAAATGCTTTCAGCTAAGGAAAAAACTTTTTGTCTTTGGGTTTGTGATGGCTTTGTAAGCAAATGTAGTTTCCTTTCTTAAGTATTTTACCTTATCTACTCTTACAATTTTAGCTTATCTACTCTGTATTTATTTAATTTCTTATTTTGTAGGATTAAGACAGGGCTGGAGATATAGCTCGGGGCACAGCGCCTGCCTGGCAAGCTCAAGGTCCTGAGTTTGAGTCTTGGTACCAAAGAAAAGATTAAGACTGTGTCAATATATGTTATTGAGAAACTCATCTGAATCTTTAAAATACTCATGACTAAACACATGTTCTTATTTTAGCCTACAATAAGAAGCAAACCTCATTTGAGGAATCCTAAAGGTTCAGTCAGAAACCATGTATATTCTTGTTTTGACTTTTGCCTCATCCATTAACCCAGCATGCCTGGCTTTGCTAACCTTGACACACTCGAGGACAGGGAGCCTTCACTTAATAGGGACGATTCCCAAGTGAGCAGTGTGTACGAGCGTAGAACCTGCTGATATGTCAGGTCCTTGTTACACTTACTTCCCATGAGCATTCTAAGATAAGTGAGGAGTGGCTGCTAACATAGTGAAGGGTTTCTAAGCATTAAGTATAAACTATATATTGGTTCTTAAAAACCCAACATTCTTAACACTTAGGAATGCAGTTTTGCATAAATTACTCTGCATCTCTATTCTAAAACAGCCGTGTCTATACCCATATTTCATAAAATGACTCTGACCAATAAAATAATGACCTACCACATTTGTATTGCTTGTTGTTTAATTTTTATCTGTTCCTTTTATTATCATGTTTTATCTTATTGGCTTCTTGTCCCAGATTTAAAGTATAGTGTGATGTCTCCAGAAAAAGTCTCATTTAAACTGATGAACTAGAGGGAAGGGTGGCAGGGGAAGTTGCTCTATATTTGATTCTATTAGAAAACAATAATCTGTGTTTCTGTAGTTTGCTTTGTCATATGCTAAACTTATTTATTTTAAAAACCCAGTAATACTGATGAGAAAAAGCTATCTGGCCTACGGAAATAGCCAATTTCAGCTTGATTCTATTTGGGAGTTTTAAAGTGCCTGTCAAAGAGTTTTTTTGTTTTCTTTTTTTTGAGGCAATTCTCATTATCTTTGTTAACATGGGGACAGTGAATGGGAAACATAATTCACAGTAGTGAGTACAGCAATAGTTTTGACTGGGATACATTTATTACTTCTGATTTGAATGTTTATGATCTTCATAATAAGAGTTCATGCTAGATTTCTGGGCAACTAGAAAGAAAGCTAAAAAGAATTCCTTTCTTATAACTTATCATTTTTTTTGTTTTGTTTTGTTTTTTTGGGTTTTTCTCCGGTACCGGGAACCGAACTCACGGCCTTGCACTTGCCAGGCAGGTGCTTTTGCTGCTGAGCTAAGTCCCCAGCCCCCCTTTCTTATAACTTATCATTTTTAAGCTGTATTAAAAATGTATATTCCTTATCTTCAGTGTTTAGTTGTCTAATGAAGCAAAATAAAGGTATCTTTTAGTCAGTTAATTGATAACTGCTTTTTTTCAATTTCTGAAGAAACTAGTATAGCTTTTTTTCCTCATTATGAGTAAATAATAATGGTATTGATAGTTACCAGTTTATTAAACTTTTAAGTGTGTTTAAATATAAATCATTTTGATACCAAATTCTGGATCAGTTCATATAAAGTTGTATTTTTACCATAATTTTGAGTTATGACATCACTGTATTTTCTTTTTTATTTGTTAGATACACACAAATCCATGTTTTTATCGGTCTTCTGAGACTAGCCGGCTCTTACCAATGAAGACAAATCTTTGGCACTGGTTGAATCCTGGAGATAGTTTTTCTTTGTTAGTTGACAAATACATTTTCTGTGTTGTCTCGACACACTCTGAAATGGAACTAGAATGTACCTTAAGGTAAGGTTGTCTGGGAAAGTGAGGTAATAATGATAGTATTTGTAATCTGATAACAACATTACAAGTGCTTTGATAGAAACTATTCAAGAATTAAACTGTATTGGAGCTACTGCAGTTGTGCATGTGTGTGTGTGTGTGTGTGTGTGTGTGTGTGTACTTGCGTATGTATATTTCTGGAAAACATTTGACTTTGGAAACTTGTTATGCCTCAGTAGTGATTGTTCTCATATGTGTTATTTTTTACCTTTGTATTTTTTATCCAAGATAGAAATTAGGATAGTAACCAGGGTAATTAATTTGAAATTGACTACATCTTCCTCATTTTTAAAAAAACCTTTAAAAATTTTATTAAGATACTATTAACTTCTGACTTAGACCACATTTATATAAGTATTCTTACAAAAATAACAGAAAGTACAGATTGGAAATCTGAAGAAAATAATAAGCGTATTTATTCTGCTGAAAATTTAAAATGCACATAGTAGTTTTTTGAGCAAATCATTTCAGAATTACTTGCTTTGTTTCAGATTTTAAATTATAGAGTACATAAACTACACCTGGAGAAGTAGATGGACAAAATTACACAGAGTATATTTTCTCATTGCAATGATATTAACTCAGAAATCAATAACATTAAAATTTCTATAAATCTTAACATTTTGAAGTTAACACACTTTTAAGTAAGTTCTGGGTCAAAGAGAAATCACAAGGGAAATTAGAAAACATTTTGTATAGATGAACACTGAAAACAACATAAAATTGGTGAGATGTAGGTAAATTAGTACTCAGATGGAAATTTATAGCTGAATGCCTTTATGAGAAAAGAAGAAAGAACCAATGACCCTGCATCTAGTTTAAGAAGATAGACATAGCCGGATAGGGGAGTACAACCCTGTAATTCTAGCACGCTGGGAGGCTGAGGCAGGAAAATCAGAAGTTTGAGCCCAGCCCAATAAAAATAAATAATAAAAAAGGGGTGAGACTGTAACTTACTGTGAAGGCCTTGGGTTCAATCTCCTATACTGGGGAAAAAAGGACAAAAAAAAGGAGCAAATTAATCCTAAAGTAAACAGAAAAAAGAGATATAAGCAAAACTGAAAGTCAGTGAAATAGGAAAATAGATCAGCAAAGCCATTAAGGTGATTCTTTGAAAAGGTTAATGAAATCGGTGAGATCTTAATAAGTCTTTCCAAGGGGGGAAAGTGTGGGAAAACACATATCAAGAATGGAAGAGAGGAAATCATTACTGATACCATAGGTTTTAAAAGAATAGTGCAGAAATATTATTTAAAACTGTGCCAATAAATTTGATGTCTTGAGCAAATGGATATGTCTTGAAAAATATAACATCAAAATAGATACAAGATGTTGAAATTTGATGAATCCTATACCCATTAAGAAGTTGAATTAAGAATTTCCCACAAGAAACTTCACTAGCAAACTCTGTTAAACTTACAAGGAAGAAATAATACCAGTGTTACTTTTTCTCCCTCAAGTAGAAATATATAGACTTTCTAACTCATTTTATCAAGCTTCCGTAATTTTGACACCAGAATCAAACAAGACTTTATGAGGAAAAGAAAAACAAAACTACAGACCAGTATTCCTCATAACATAATATTTACAAGTCAAATCCATCAGCATATAAAAAGTATAATATGCTAAGACCAAGTGAGGCTTGTCCCAAGTGTTACCATGGGTGGTGGGGCCCCAGGACAGATTTCCAGGTTTTTTTTTACAATGAACAGAGAATTAGACATGGCACACAATGGTAAGGAAGAAGCAGCTAAGTTTAAGGAACCTTAAATGTGAATGTATGCTCAGAGTGAGTGGGCTTATGCTGGCAGAAAGGAAAATGGCACGAGCACAGAATATGCTGGGCTAAAGAATTTGAAATGTTATGCTGGGGCTAGGGCACCTCTCATTGATTGACATCATGACTGACCGTGCTGATTTTGTCATCTGTGTCTACTGTGCATGTGTTTCCCGTAATTCACTGTTACAATTGGATGTATGAGATACTGTCCATATGTGTGAACCTTTAATGAGCTCCAAGTAAAGAAAGGACCTTGTAGGTCATGGGCAGGTCTAGCACCTTGCATTCCAGTTTAGAATTTGGGCAATTTCCGGGAGTCTTTGTTATTTTTATCTCTGCATCCAGGCAACGGACCTTAGGAGAAAGGTGTGTGTTTGGGGGGAGGGGGGCAGTGTCAGGTGAGTGGAGGGGAATGGTCCCATAGCCCTTATTGTACTATCTGTATTATAAGGAACACAAAGTTGGTTTATCATACAAAAGCCAGTCAAGGCAATTCATTATAACAGATAAAGCACTATCATTTCAGTGGATGCTCAAAAGTAATTTTGACGGTACTCAACATCTGTTCAAAAATACTGAGAAAACTAGAGAAAAAAAGGAACCTTCCATCCTGTAAAAAAACTTAATAGTTAAAATCTGAAAGTTCTTCCCCTATTATTGGGAACAAGACCAAAATAAAGTGCATCTGATTGGAAAGGAATTAAAACTGTTTATTTGCAGATGATATGATTTTGTACTTAGAAAAACTTTGAGGAATCTACCAAAAAACAAGCAGGTCAGAAAATATTTCTTACTGGATGATTTCATTTATGTTAAATTCTATATTAAGGAAGTTAATCTATAGTAATAGAAATTTAATCAAAGTTTATTTCAAGGGACTGAGTAGGAGGAGACACATGGAAACGTGCTGTGGTGATAGACCTATTCTGTGTCTCAGTGAAGTCGCAAGTTGCCTGGGCATATGTACTTGTGAAAACTGATGAAATTGCACACTTACGATATGTACATTTCAGTGTGTGTGTGTATATATATGTATATATAAATTTTAGATTTTTAAGATTTTTAAGTTGGTGAATAAAAAGTTATGTCAGGAAAGGTTTTTTTAAATTTTAGGTAATTGAAACTTGGTAATTGTTATCACTTGGATTACAAATCCTTTTTCTCTTATCATACAGGAAAAATTATGTTTTTTTTTTATTGAGACAAAGTTTCACTATTTAGTTCAGGCTAGCCTTGAATTTGTGGAAATCTTCTTGCCTTTGCCTCTCCAGTGCTGGGACTACAGGCCTGCGCCACCACACCCAGCTATGCTATCTTAAACTAGCTGTTGAAATGAGAAATGTAGAACTATTTTGTGATAAACTTCCAAAGTTGAATGAAACACTTTAAAAATGTTATAGATCTCTATAAAAAAAAGTATGGCCACTGATTGATAATTTGTTTAAAGTATTACTAGTTGAGTATCCTATCTGAAATGGCTTGGGATCACAAATGTTTTAAATTTTGGAGTGTTGGATTTTTGAATGTTTGTATAGACTTTACTGGTTTACTAATCCAAAAGTCTGAAATCTGAAATACAGGCATTTCTGATTTTCAGATTACAGATGTTCAACCTTGTTATAGTCAGGGTATTCAAAGGAATGGATTTAATACAGGGCACATGGATTTAATATAGGATTATTTTATAATATTCACCCAAAGAGTCAAATGCAGAAGAGTGCAGGAAATCTGTCTATGCACTAGAAACCCAAAGAATACAGATGAGGGCCTGGATCCTGTGGCAATGTCCTGCATGAGCCCGGCTGAAGAAATAGAGCCCATGGCAATGTCCTCCGTGAGTCCAACTGGAGGCCTAGAGCCCATGACAATGTCTCATGCAAGTCT